TTGTTCTAAATTTCAATTTAATTCTGCAACATTTATTGAACACCTAAAATTTGCAAGTATCAAAATCAAATCTAATAAAGGCATGGGATTTCTGGGGTAAGAGCTCAAGGCCTGTAATACTGACAGAGTAACCAATTCCAACACATAATCACTGCTATAGCTCCACATTCCACCTGACTCACTGCATACAAGCAACATTGGATGTTACCACTGTCATAAGTGATTGAACTAGTCTTACTTGAAGCAATGGTTTGCAAAGTGTCTTTACATTGCTGTGTTTTTTTCACCAAAATTCTAAGGGCTTTTCTTTGATACTATCTTTTTTTCAACCTGTGTGCACTCATGCTTCCCAGATATTCTACCGTCCTCTCTTTCTTCGTTTTTATGACCATGTGAACACTGGCATCTGTTTAATGGCAGTCTTGGGTGTCCTTCAAGCTAGCACAGCACTGTTGAGCAAAACTTTGCCAGCATTCCACCTCCTTTCCAGAATCAGCATTCATCCAGTGATGGCTGCCTTCTAACATCCAGTTTTTCTGTTCCCCCAAATCCTTTAGGCTGAGGACCATGGCTTGATATTGACAAACGCCTTCCCTCACTCTGGTGCAAGCTACTGTCATCTCTTGCCAGTCGAAGTTTTTTAAGTGGCCTCCTGGCCACCCACCATGCTACCTTCTCATCCACTGCCTACACTGCAGCCATTGTGAACTTTCTGAAGTGAATATCTGATGAAGTCGCTCATTTACTTAAAATCCTAATGGCTTCCTATTGCTGTTATAATCAAGTCCAAGTTTCTAATATGCATCACAAAGCCCTCTATAGTATGGATTCTGCCCATCTTCCTCTCTCCTCTCTAAGTACCAGTCAGACAAAATTCTTTCTGCTCCTGTAATGGTCCATGCTCTATCTTACTTCCTGGCCCTCCTGTATCCTATTCCTCCTGCCAGGAACACTTTTTCTCCTTCCTGCACATTTACATGCCAAGAAATGATTATCCTGAGCTGGAAGAACAGACTTGCATCAATAATGATCATTATTCCATATCGCATGTGTTCAGTCCTCTGTATTGTCAGGAGCTTTAACTACACCCCATAACTACGATGATCATATTTTGCAAACTAAAGTTCTGAAGAATAGGATTGCATTTTGGACAACAGAACATGTCTCAGAACATCTTGGCTTTATATAAGTCTCATTCTGTGGCAGCAGACATTCAGAACTATAGCTTTCCCTGGTCAGGGACAAGGGATTAAAGTGTGACTCCAAAAGGGACAGAGGACAGTAGCTGCTGCTCTAGGATCATGCTATACAGTGGGCTTGACATATAGTCCAGTGACATGGAGTGGGATGTTTTACTAAGGATTAATCTTATGGGATTTTCTTATGCCTGCCCAATGAAGAGGTGCCAAAACTAAATAAAAACAAAACACACGTGAAAGCACACATGTGAGCATGTACACACAGACACACACGCACCCCCCCACTCCCCCACATACACACCCCTTTGTCCCTCTGTTCTCCTTAGGATACAAAATAATCTTTGAGGCTCCTAAAGGCTGCTCTCCCCTTTGAAGGAGGGAGAAACACAGAGCTCTCTACTGGCCCTTACCTACCTTAGAAGCTAGCTTTACTGTTGGAGAACAGGGCACAATCAGGCCCTTCATCAGGGTTAAATAGGAAACGCCCACCCTATAAGGAAGAGTAGGACAAAGGTGTTCTAGATTCAGAATGAATCAACATGAACATGTAGCCAAATTTGGACCCAATACTTCTGGGGCAAGTGGGCTGGGCTGTGGTGGAATTTGAGTACTAGGCAACATGTCCTGGAACCCCAAGCGAGATCAACATGCCTAGAGCATCAGCTGCTAGTGATACAAGAAAGGGGCTCTGATCCGGACCCCAAGAGAGGGTTCTTGGATCTTGCGCAAGAAAGAATTCAGGATGAGTTCACAGTGCAAAGGGAAAGCAAGTTTATTAAGAAAGGAAAAGAACAAAAGAATGGCTATTCCATAGACAGAGCAGCCCCGAGGGCGAGGGCTGCCAGTTGCCCATTTTTATGGTTATTTCTTGACGATATGCTAAACAAGGGGTGGATTATTTTAGACAATGTAGGGTAACTTCCTGATGCTGCCATGGTTTTGTAAACTGTCATGGCACTGGTGGGAGTATAGCAGTGAGGATGACCAGAGGTCATTCTTGTCGCCATTTTAGTTTTGGTGGGTTTGGGCTGGCTCCTTTACTGCAACCTGTTTTATCAGCAAGTTCTTCATGACCTGCATTTTGTGCTGACCTCCTATCTCATCCTGTGACTTAGAATGCCTTAACTGTCTGGGAATGCAGCCCAGTAGGTTTCAGCCTCATTTTACCCAGCTCCTGTTTAAGATGGAGTTGCTCTGGTTTACACGCCTCTGATACTAGAATGCCTAGGACCCAGTTCTCAACAGAGAAGTATGGTGGCCTGAGAGCCAATGAAGCAATGGCCACAGCAGGCTGACAGCCCTTCCTCACCTACATGCAGGTAGAGGATAGCAGGCTCCCAGCAGCCACCTCAGGGTTTCTGGCCTTTATCCCAGCTCTAATTTTAAATCTATTTCTTAAGTTTTTGGGTAATTATGCGAAAAAGTGGTTAAGTGGCAGCTTGTGAAAGCCCGTTTCTGGTTTACTCAAAATAATGTAATGAGTAACAGGCTAGAACAGAAAATGTGACACAATAAAGATGAGTGGTACATAATGCTGTCAAAAACAGAAAAAGAGGCGAGAAAAGAAAGGTTGGCTCTTTGGCCCATGATAGTCAAGGACTGTTCCCTACAATGTCATCACAGCTTCTGGTTCTGACTGGAGCTACTGGAAGTTATGCCAAATTAAGTCTGCATAAAGCCTCAGCGAGGATAAAACAGTTTCTGGGCAGAGGAATGTGACACAGAACCAGGGAAATATGACTAGACCTCATTATCTTGGTGCCTTTGATAACATACTGGAGAGCAGAGTGGGGTTTTGAATGGGCTGAAATCTTCCATAAATGGAGTCTAAATGCAGGCTACATAACATCCAAAAACTCCTCAGAGAAATTCCTATTATGTACATGAAAGGGGGAATGCAGTAAGTCCCATTTGGCTGGGCAGGGAGCATTCTGCACTCAGTGAAACTTCGCGGTTCCCGTGCTGAGTGCCAACTGCATGTTCCTACTAGACCAAGGCCCTAAACACAGACGGGCAAGTGCAGTGGAAAATGAGCTAAATGGAGCAGTCAGTGCTGGGCAATTCTTTGTCTCTAGAACATCAAAACCACAAGGCAAGATTTTAATAAAAGTATCTTTTTTTTCATAAAGTTCCTAACTAGTTATGAGCCAGTATGATGATGAATGTTACTCAGAGTTGCTATGGCAAAACAGACTGACCTTATCTTTTTCCATGAGTCCCCATCGATATACAGCTAAAACCAAGAATTAGTTGAGATGCATCACTAGTGACTCTCGCTCTGTGGGACTGACACACTCAGGGAAACCTCTGAATTTTAAAATAAGTATACAGTGAAATTAACCATATTAGGAAAAAAAGGCACATGGGTGAGGTGACTCAGCTCAAATGTCACCTGCTCATAGAGGACTCCCCTGGAGAGCTGAAAGTTCGGCACTCCTTTCTTCACTAGTTAGTAACCTCTTGTTGCTCTTTAACACATTAACTGTGATAACTGTCAAAAGATAATTGGTGGGTGTTTATCCAACCTCCTTGTTTGAATTTCAACTCCCAGAGACAGGAACTGTGCATGCTTCATTACCCTGTTCCTAACACCTACACAGAGGCTGGCACAGAGGAAGCCCTCAGTGTTCTTAGACTGGCTGCCTTTCCAAGTGCCAAGAACAAAGAGTGCAGTTGTCTGTAACTGAAGACATTGTGGAGTCCAGAAAAACCAGCATTCACCTCAGTATAGCAAAAACATCACATATTGGAATGAGAAGTCTCTTTTACTATTGACGTCATATTGGTTAAGTCCGTGCCTGGAGGCAACGTGGTCTGAAGCAACACCACCCCAAGGGTGGTTCTCAAACCAGCAGCATCAGCGCCACTCGGCCGTGTGCTAGAAAAGCCAAGTCCAGGACCCACGGTGTACCCAGTGAGTCACAATGTCTGGGGGTGAAGCCTAAGAATATGAGTTTTAATTAAGTTCTCCTGGTGATTCTTATGAGCCCTAAAGTTTTGAGAACCACTGATTCAGAAACAAATACTAGATTACCACAGACTGTGCCACTGATCTTAACTGAGTAACTGTTATTCAGAAATAAAGGTGAAAATAAGAAGGAAATGTCATAGAGACTAGCATTTGCCAGGGAAAACTGGCACGTTCTTGCTGGCATTTAGATTTTTTTAAATCAGGAAGGAGGAGAGTGAAGTATATGCCAAATGGTCTACATGGATAAACTCAGGGCAGTCAGAATGCCCCCACCAACTTGTGGCCAGATAACTGCCCCATGTTATGCTTCACCGGGGCCTCCTGGACCCGCCTGAAAACCAGCAAGCAGGCGAGGTTCCTTGTGCATAGAACTCTCCCTTTACCTGTTTCCCCCTTCTTCCCTGGGGCAGCACCATTTGTGGCTCTTTTTTTTTTTTTGAGACGGAGGCTCACGCTGTCATCTGGGCTGGAGTGCAGTGGCACAATCTCAGCTCACCACAGCCTCTGCCTCCCAGGTTCAAGCAATTCTCCTGCCTCAGCCTTCCACATAGCTGGGATTACAGGTGCCCACCACCACATCCAGCTAAATTTTTTTTGTATTTTTAGTAGAGATGGGATTTCACCATACTGGCCATGCTGGTCTCGAACTTCTGACCTCGTGATTTGTTGGCCTCGGCTTCCCAAAGTGCTGGGATTACAGGCATGAGCCACCGCACTTGGCCAATCTGCGGTTCTTTCTAAGAATCACTGCAACAGATGATGGACCAGGACAACTCAGCGAGGGCTGCCCCACTTCCCGCCCCGGGGACGAGAGGGGACCCGCGCCATACCATGATTGAGATGTCTGATGCAGTCACTCAGGAGGGCACTAAACCTCTTCTGGTCAGCAGCCTCGTGGAAGCAGAAGTAGCCGTGTCTGAGGAAGGGTTGCCACAGGTACACTGGGAATTCCTTGGGCAGGACCACGAAGGGCTGAGCGTTTTCCTTCTCACTGGAGGCTAAAGAAATATTGAAAACACAAATACCTTTTCAAATGTGTATCTTTTACTTCAAATATGTGTTTCAGGTTGTGAGGGTAACTATCTGGGGCAGGGCATGGGATGGAAAGTCGGTGAGATATTTTCATAGGGTAGGGAAACTGGGAGCACCGGCTCCTCTGGCATCCCTCCACCAGCTTGCCCTGTTCCACTGCCGCCGACTGCCTGGCCTCCTACCCAACACCACGAGGACAGTGAGGATACCAGGAACACAATCTTTTCTTTTTTTTGAGACAGAGTCTCGCTCTGTTGCCCAGGCTGTAGTGCAGTGGCACAATCTTCGCTCATTGCAACCTCCACCTCCCAGATTCAAACGACTGTCCTGCCTCAGCCTCCCAAGTAGCTGGGATTCCAGGCACATACCACCACTTCCAGTTAATTTTTGTCTTTTTAGTAGAGACAAGGTTTCACCTTGTTGGCCAGGCTCCTGACCTCAAGTGATCTGCCCGCCTCGGCCTCCCGAGTAGCTGGGATGATAGGCATGAGCCACCGCACCCGGCTAGTTTTTTTGTATTATTTGTAGAGACAGGGTTTTGCCATGATGCCCAGGCTAATCTCAAACTCCTGAGCTCAAGCGAGCCACCTGACTTGCCCTCCCAAAGTGCTGGGATTACAGGCATGAGCCACCGCGCTCAGCCTGGGCACAATCTTTCTCAACTTCCTTATGTCTAAAGACCCACAAACAGAGCTCCGTCTGCCCTCCTGGCCCTCTGCAGGCCACGGATCACCTGTGCAGCCCCTCGCTCTACCGGCCCTGCAGGCTCCAGCTCCAACAGGGCTGCTCTCTGCCCTGCACTCTCTCCCTCCTCCCTGTCACTGCCAAACACCACTTGCTGCTTTTATGCCATCAACCTTATTCTCACCTCACTCTGATTCCTGTCCCTACCAACTCCTGAAACCCAACTGCTGAAGCCACTTATGTCATCCTGACTGCCAGCCTATGGCTGCTTCTTTTCATCTGACCTGGAATATCTGCTGCTGCTAACAACCCCTTCTTTGAAAACATTCTCTCCCCATGACTTCCAGGAGTGCCTCTCTCCTGGTTTCCTTCATGCTTTGTAGAATTTTGTTTCTTCTTTATCACCTTTATTGGTTCCTCTGCTGACTCTCTCCATCTCCTCGCTAAGCATTGGTGCCTGCCCCGTTCTGTGCTGGCCTCCCCTCCACTCTGCCTGTACCCTCCCAGGGTGTGTTCACCCATTCCATGACTTTTTATATTGTTCCTACAGTCCAAAGAACCCTCTCTTCCTTCCTTTCCATCATGCTTTCCCATAAAAAAAATTCTCATTCATCCTTCAAAAGTCAGTTCAAAAGCCACTCCTCTGGGATACCTTTGCTGGCACATCCCACTGCCACCAGAGACAGAGTTAGGTGCTCCCTACCCTGTTCTCCACAAATACTACAATGGCCTGTTTTCATGCCCAGCGCCCATACTCAAGGTGGGGAGGTGGGGAAAGGGAGTGAGATGGATTCCTGGGCTGTTCTCCCCCCAAGAGAGAACAACTGCTACCCACTGTGAGTGCCAAGAGATGCAGACTGCATCTTCCAGAGCTTTGCATCCTTAGCCCATAGCACAGTCATGGAACATAGCAGATGTTCAACTTCAGTTTCTTGAGTGAAAAATATGCTGCGTTGGCCTAGGATATTTTTTAAAGCCCTAGACAATGGGACTTTTACCTCTTCCCTCAAAATCAATTCCAAGAAACTCATTTTAAACCCACTACTATTCAGAACCCCTACCTAAACTTTACTCCTTTCCATGCATTCCTATTACATGATATTGCACTTGGTTAAATGAGTCCCAACTTTTTCCAGAGTCTCAGAGAACAAGCAGAAGAAAACATTAGTTCTGTACTTCCTACATATGTATTAGGCGCCAATCTCAGGGAAAGGTAAGGAAGAGGGTCTCTCTAAGAGACCATTGAAAGCACTGGGAATACAGGGAAATGAATCATAACCACATGGGAGGCTACAGAACTGTGTCAATTCTGGCAAATAAATAAATCAGGATTGCTCACGCCTGTAATCCCAGCACTTTGGGAGGCCGAGAAGGGTGGATCATAAGGTCAGGAGTTTGAGACCAGCCTGGCCAACATGGTGAAACCCCGTCTCTACTAAAAACACAAAAATTAGCTGGGCGTGGTGGTGCACACCTGTAATCCCAGCTACTCAGGAGGCTGAGGTAGGAAAAATGCTTGAACCCGGGAGGCAGAGGTTGTAGTGAGCCGAGATCATGCCACTGCATTCCAGCCTGGGTGACAGAGTGAGACTCCATCTCAAAATCAATCAATCAATCAATCAGGATTGGTTTAAATGAAGAATAAATTCCTAAGAATATATGGGAGCCCGGTTCCAGTGTCCCGGAATCTGAAGGTAACAGAGCAGAATGCACCGCGAGCACAAGCTGTGGCCCACCAGGACCTAGCACAATGCTGGGAATGAATCAACATGAAAATGAGCAAATGAATGAATGATTGAATGCTATAGGGACACCTGTAGTTGTAACATGATATCTATTTCACTTTCTGGAGAGAATAAGGCCCCTAATTTTTAGATGGGCAAGTGACTACATAAAATAAGACTACATTTCCAGCCTCCCTTGCAGCTTGGTGAGCCCACAGCTACTAAGATCTGTCCAGTAAGATATAAACTGAAGTGGCATATGAAACTTCCTGGAGGTATCTCTAAAGAGAGTGACTGTACCCTCCTCCTTTCCTTTTCTCCTCCCTATTATCTGGAATGAGAACGCTATGGTAGGAGCTCAGCAGCCACCCTGGACTCTGCCAATAGGGGCCACAACCTAGAAACAAACGGGGAGAAAGCAAGAAAGAGCCTGAGCTTCTGACAAATTTAGTCCACATCAGCCCTGGACGAATATCCAAATATCTTTAGTGAAACTATAAAACTTTGAGTTTTTTGTTGCATGCAGTGAACCAGATGCTAACCAGTAAAATACCAAACAAGTGAATTACTTTAACAAAACATAGGGCCGTTTTTTTCTGTTATCAACTTAGCTGAACACTCTGTAAAGAATACACTTATTGGCCAGGCATGGTGGCTTATACCTATAATCCCAGCACTTTGGGAGGCCAAGGCAGGAGGGTCACTTGAGCTCAGGAGTTGAAGACCAGCCTGGGCAACAGAATAAGACCATTGTTTCTGCAATTCCTTTTTTGTTTTTGTTTTGTTTTGTTTTGTTTTGTTTTGTTTTTCTGGGCATAGTGGCATGTAGCTGTGGTCCCAGCTACTCGAGAGGCTGAGGTGAGAGGATTACTTGAGCCCAGGAGGTTGAGGCTACAGTGAGCCATGATCACACCACTGCATTCCAGCCTGGGCAACAGAGCGAGACTCTGTCTCAGAAAGGAAAGGAGAGGAAAGGAGAGGAAAGGAGAGGAAAGGAAAAGAAAGGAAAGGAAAGGAAAGGAAAGGAAAGGAAAGGAAAGGAAAGGAAAGGAAAGGAGGATCACACCATCACCCCCAGCTTGGCAGAGTTGAGACTGTCTCAGAAAGGAAAGTAGAGGGAAAGGAGAAAGGAGAGGAAAGGAAAGAAAGGAAGGTGCTGGTGCTGGTGCTGGCGGAAAGAGCAGGTTGGAAGATGGAAAGGAAAGGAAAGGAAAGGAAAGGAAAGGAAAGGAAAGGAAAGGGAAATGCACTTATTCATAAGCCTCTAGTGCTTTTTCCAAGAAATGCACTTATTCTTAAGCCTCCCATCTTTATTATGCCTTTATTCTTTCCAGTAGAAATAATATCACAGAGTCAGTCTTCTTCATTGACATGGTTCTATCAATCCTCCTCTATCAATCTTGCCCTCTCCAAGAATGCCACAATTTTGTACAAGCAACTATTGTACAACAATATGTACAATATGTACAACATTGACCCTTTGCATTTAAAAAGCCTCAACAAGCCCATAAAATTCATTCCTATTAGCCTCTAGTTATCTCTCAACCTTTTACAACAATTTTCCAGATGGCATCAGTGAATTTTTTCTGAGTTACAAGAATATCACAACTGATCTACTGTAGAATATCCTATTTTAAAAGTCAGAAGGTCACACCACACAATTTAAAAAAGTCATTGAAATGCCCCAATCTGAAGCCTTGGGCCAACTGGGATTAATCACACAGGACTTGTGTTTTTTAGTCCTTTTCATTCCTTCCAATATGATTTCAGCAATAAATCAATAAACATATTGTCTCTTCTGACTGATTTCATTGGAAAGTTTGAGAGAGATTTGGATGAGTCAACATGTTGGTATTCCCATTTCTAGCTGCAGCTCCACCTCCAAGGGCATATAAGTAGATGTAAAAGAAAATATAATAATATGCATAGTGCAATAAAATGTTGTTTTAGCATGAATTACTTAGTAATAATTCGTTAATCTTGGTTTATTGTCCATGTACCAATCCCGTAATTGTGTTATTAAAAACACTATGCTAAGCAGTCAGCACTGAAATAACAATTGATAAAATGATTATGTTTTTCTCCATAAATTCTAATTAAATTATTATGTCCATTAATAAGAACCAGGGCTCTCTTCAAGAACCAAATAATTACTGGGTAGTATGATTTATGCAAAGCCAAATGGAGTTATTACATTATCCACACTTCATGAATCTCTATGAAATGCCCTATTTGGTCTATATATTAGCCATCATTTCTCCATATGTAAAAAGTGGAATGAATGAGAATCAAAGAAAGTTAGAGCTAGAAAGACCCTTCTAGGTTTTTAAGTTCAAAGCCCTGTTTTTGAGTTGAAGAAATAGAAACCAGAATTGTTTAGCAGCCGGCCAAGCTAAAGCATTTGGTAAGTGGCACAGCCAGAACTAGATAAAAATCCAGTCTCCCAATTCTCTTTCCATGGCAGCGTTCCAGCTTTATTTATAGATATGCAAATTAATGCAATGCTTTTTTTTTTTTTTTTTCACAGTAGCTATGAGTTACTGTAACACTGATTAAAAGGTCTATTTAGGGTATTTAGTTGTATATCATCCTAAAATTAGAAAAATAGTATTCCCTGACAGGTCCAGGCTTGCTTACTAAAAGATGGGATTGTACATATCATGGAGTGGGTCCTACCTGTTTATTTCTGCTGCCTTGTGGAGTGCTATCAAAGCCTGCAATATATTCCAAAAGCTTCAAGATACCTGGCTGATAGCACATTTTCCATGTGCTAGAAACACAGAGGCTGACTGTATATTATTGAATGGGATTAGAAATAACGGAAGTGGTAAAATGTTTTCCTAAACTACAGAAATCACAACTTCCACTTGTCTATGGGGCATGAGTGTCTAGCCCAGGGTTTCTCAACCTTGGCATTACTGATACTTTATGCCAGATAACTCTTCGTTGTGAGGGTCTGTCCTGTGCATGGTAGGATGTTTTGTAGCATCCCTGGCCTCTATTCACTAAATGCCATAGCACCCTCCTTCCAGTTGTGACAAACAAAAATGTCTCCAGATGCTGCCAAATGTCCCTGGAGGGAAATCCCTCTCCTTCACTGAGAAACACTGCTCTGCTACACAAAGAAGCTTAGTCATTTTGCCTTGGAAAAGAATGATCAGCAACTCACCAAGAGGGTCTGGGAAATGCCTATCAGACAACAGATTATATTCATCTTCTGAGGTTAACACCTTGCCACCAGCTGGAAGAATTCGGCTTTTAGGAGCAGCTCCTCTCTGATAGGCCTGGGGGAGGAAAGCATACAGGAATGATATGTTTTTCCCCATTCGATTTTTGGAAAATACCAGGAATAAAACAAATAGACAGATTCAGACTTTCAGAGATAGCAATCCCCATACTATGTTATTGAGTTACAGTCATTTATTCAAAAAATATGTTTTGAATACCTGCTAATGGCAAGGTAATATTTTAATACTTTCATGTGACGGTCACAACATGGTAAATCAGAGTCCCTAATCTCAGGGAGATTCACCCTAAGTATGTTCTCGAATGTGGAAAACATAATCTCAGTAACCCAGAAAGTCCCTACCACATTTGTCATTTCAGATGCTAACACCTAAATCATTCTGATAATAACCACAAAGGTGACGATCACACAAATACTGCACAGAATGCTTGGTGACTGACGTGGGCCACATATGATGACTCATGAGACTGTGGAACACATAGTGGCAATGATAGTTACCATGGATTTTCATCAAAACATTAAAATGTTGGCATAAAATATGCCACTACTTTGCCCTCAGATGTGAAACTGTTTTGCAGCAAAATGGTTGAGATGAAAGTACAGCATTGTGACATCAGAAAAAATTCTGGCCAGCAGACAAGAAGCTCTGTTATTTGAGACACAGAAAAGAGGCACAGGGCATTGCTAAAGCAGTTTGGTAAGCACATATGCCCACAAGGACATACAGGTAAGATAAAATTTAAGTATGTGCATCTGACGGGAGGGCTAAAGTCAAGGCAAAATTCTGCAACTAGTAATCTAAAGGCACATTGAGAATTGAAATTAAGAAACTTTGAAACCCAAAATCTAGAATGTACTCTTGGAAATAACTAAAAAATGTTGATCTGACCAACATAATCAGAGTAACGGTAACATATTCTGCAGCAATAAGACAGTGAAGAGATCCAAATAAAATAAACTCTCAGATAGCTAAAAGGCTTGTCTTCATACTTGTAACAAACATTAATCAACTCCTTAAGCGTGTCAGGGAAGCAGAATATACCCATTATCACAGAATTCTGGAGTCTGACCTATTCATCCTAAGAAGGAAGACTGGAGGACTCTTCTGAATGAATGATTAACCCAGGAAGGAGGATCTCTATATAATTGAGGGTTCCTCATGAAATAATACCTTAAAGCTCTAAGCACTCCCACAGAGCTACATTATAGTGAAACAATAATATTGAGAGAAGAATCTAAACTTATATGATATTAAGACGATTTAGAAGCAATTTTATTTACACTGGACTCAAAAGTGAATTGTATTATTAGTTATAACAGGCTCCAATATTGGCTTTTATAAGCATTATACCATTTAATCCTCAAAATGGTACTATGCATTAGATGTTATCTCCATTTTTCAAACGGGAAAGGTGAAGCGCAAAGAAACTGAAAAACTTGCCCATGGCCCAGCAGTGAGTAGGTGACACATCCAGGATTCATATTCATGTCTGTCCAGGCCCAGTGCACACAAAATAGATACTGATTATCAAGTGAGAATGTTTTACTTTTCCTGTTCAATTGCCAGCCAAAATTGGACTCTAAATAAAATAGTAGACAATTTATAGGTACTTAATGTGTAATTCTTAGATATAATTTTATAAGATACTACTATAAACTAAAAAAAAGATATTATTACAACTTTGAGAAATTACGACAAACTGCATGAACTTTAAAAAATTCCAAGTTTTAAAAAATACTTGGTTATTACCAAATTCAGTCACCATATCTTAACAATTTGAACAGGTTCAGTTAAAAATGATGAACAAAGAAAAAGCAGTGCAATGTACAAACTGCAAGCTGAGAGAGCAAGCTGAAATAAGTGAAAAGAGGAAAAACACCAACATTTGATTCAAAATGAAACTTCAGTTAGTGTTAAATGCAGTGAAAAACTTTAATAAATCCAAGAACAAGATCTAGGGCTGTTTCCTCCTAATGGGTTAGTAGTAATCATACCAACAACTGCTCCACACCCAGCTCTAGCTTGACCACAGGCCCAGCCGGATGCTAAATGCTTCAGTACATTCATTCACTTACTCTGCTCAACACCATGGCAAAGAAATCACACGGATCTCATTTCATAGATGAGAAAACCGAGGCTCAAGATTTCTAACTTGGGCAAGGGTGCTATATCGAGTAAGTAAGTGGTAAAAGTATGAGTGAAAGCCCTAAATACGGGCCATATTACGCTACACTGTCCCTCCTCAAGCTCTTCTGAAAGGACATTGTAATGGGTCATACAAAACATAAGGTGACTTGTTATTATTATTTGTAGTGTATTGATACTTTGTTGCTGAGTACAAATCAAGTGTTGAATAAAATCCTAATATTGATAAGCAGAGAAAATATTAGCTTAATAAATGTTGAAAAGAGTAAGTCTACCCAAGAGCACTTGAGCTTTGCCTGGTAGCTTGTGAAATAAATTTGTAGTATATTTTATTTCTATTTTCCATCAGAAATGGGAAGGAAACAGATTGGTCTGTCAGTCTGAAGCCTCTTTCTAATGGTTTAGCATCAGGAGTAGTCCTCACAGTTCTCTACGAAGACTATCTTGACTACTCTTTTTTTTTTTTGAGATGGAGTCTCGCTCTGTCACCCAGACTGGAGTACAGTAGGGTGATCTCGGCTCACTGCAACCTCCACTTCCCGAGTTCCAGTGATTCTCCTGCCTCACCCACCTGAGTATCTGGGACTACAGGCATGTACCAGCATGCCCAGTTAATTTTTGTATTTTTAGTGGAGATGGGGTTTCAAAATGCTGGCCAGGCTGATCACAAACTCCTGACCTCAGTTGACCTGCCTGCCTCGGCCTCCCAAAGTGCTGAGATTACAGGTATGAGCCACTGCACCCAGCTGTCTTGACTATTCTTGAGCTTAGAGGCCAGAGAGCAGAGTTTTAAATCTGTTACTATCCTTCACTGATAAATAGTACCTGTTCATTTCAAAGGGAGCTTGAGGGTCTATGTAGACTAAAAAATGTGTACAGTATGAGATCTGGGAGGACAGTGGGATCATTTGACCTAACTGTTTAGCTTAGTTGAGGCCTGAAAACAGGAAGTCACTTGTCAATGAGTTCACTTCTAGTTAATGGCACAACTCGACCTAACCTTTAGTTTGCCAAATTCACTGCCTGATATTTTTCCCCGTACCACACTACCTCCCTACATAAGGAAAGAAATGGGAACCAATAAAAACTGAAGTCCTCCCAAGTGCTGAATGCTTTACACCCATTATCTCATCTTCACATTTTACAGATAAGGAAAATAATGAAATAACCAGAAAAAAAGTTAAATGAAAAAAAAAAAAAAAACCTCCATGGGAATAAAGTATGTGAGGCATTCTGAATTCCTAGGAACCCAGGCAAACCCAGGTAGATTCACATTTAATAACAACCTATGAAATAACTCCTCAGCCACCTGTCACGCACAGGGTTTCAGAGTGGGAAGACAGGGACATAGAGCAGAGACATCAGGACAGTGGCTGAGAAAGACCTCGAGGCTGAATGATCATAGGAAAGGCTCCTGTGCCAAATACTGGTCCTTCTATCTTCATACTCACTTGTAATCACCTGTTCAAAGTCTACCTTGCCACTAGACAGCAAGCATCTGTCTTACCAACTGCTGTATACCCAGAACCTTGTATAACACTTGATATGCAGTAGGCATTCAATCAGTATCTGTTAGCTGAAACAGGTACCTACATGAATGAGTGCTTACTGAATGAATCAGTCTCCAAGGACAGCGCACACCAATCAACCTAGCTAAACTTTTAAGAATAGTGCAAGAACCAGTAGTAACAAAGAAGTGTCTTACCTCTTTATTCTCATAGCTCTCCACCGCATAATCATTTTTAACTACAACATATCTCTCCTTCCACTTCTTTATGTCTTCAGAAAATTGTGATAGCTCTGCTTCATACAAAATAGTTCCAGGCGTCAATGGTGGCTTAAAGAAGATGAACACAATTAACTATCACAACAAATGATAACACTCCTTGTTACCACTAAGTTATCCATGGTATTTCAAGGAATAGTTGAGGAAACTATCTTCCCCTGAGATCCTGGGAAAACTGTTGCTTCCTCCTCTCCCCCAACAATTTCCCTTTCCTGCTCCACTTGACCCAATGTAAATATTTGTCTTATGGGTATTTTTATGATTTTCACTTCCCTCTATTATGCAGTAGGAACAGAAGCATATGGTAGAAGGAATTATAGTTATTGCTTAAGGTTATTATGCCTTGCATACATGTGGCACTCAATAAATGCTTGATAAACTCTTTGGGAGAGAGGGAGTGAGGCAGGAAAGTGTAAGTGTGGATATCCACAAGGACATGTCTGAACATGTCTCAGGGTTAATCCCCGCAAAGCAGGAGAATTAACAGACTGTTCTCCTATTCAATACACCTGCCGATGCAGCCTCTAATGCTCAATGGTTTTCTTAAACCCAAAGCCATGGGGACCCCTCTCCGTGCTACTCAGGGAGATTGTATTTGCTATTTGGTTAAAGAATAAGCAGGTATCAAGCCAGAACACCTCAGTTCTACCTCTTCTACTTAAAAGTTTGAGGATTTTTCATTAACCATGGTGACATATGTTCTGTACAGGCATTTCCATTAGATTCCTAGTTAGGTCTTCCATTGGGTTAACTGTGTAAGGATAATTCCCATCCTGCTTCATTGTGTAATTCTCAAATTATTTCAAAATATACAAATGGGCCTCTTGTCTTTTACGTGTCGCTGAATTTACATCTATTTTCCCTTTACCAAAAAAATCATAGTGCCTTCAGAAACTTACCCCTCTACTTTCAAGTAAAATTTTAAATGAACTATACAGAAAAAAAAAATAGATATGTCAGTCTCTTTTAAGAATCATCTAAGGGATGAAACAAATTCCCTTCCAGATTCCAGCCCTTAATATTCTAACCTGACAGATAATGTGGCAGTCTCCTATCTTGCCTCATTAAAAGGTAAGAGAAAATCTCTTCTCTTTAAATGAAACTGAAACCATGGTATAAGATGAACTTTGTAGTTCTTACGTGCAACTTTTCTTAAAACCTGGGTCACTCAATCAACTGATAAGCTTGTTAAAAATGGGGCCTCACCATAGACTTACTACATCAGAATCTCTGGGGCTGTGGGCCAGAATGTGCATTTTAACAAGCTCCCCACATTTTGAGATCACTGTTTTTTTGTGTGTTTGTTTTTTTTTTGTTTTGTTTTTTTGTTTTTGTTTTTTGAGACGGAGCCTCGCTCTGCTGCCCAGGCTGGAGTACAGTGGCCGGATCTCAGCTCACTGCAAGCTCCGCCTCCCTGGTTACGCCATTCTCCTGCCTCAGCCTCCCGAGTAGCTGGGACTACAGGCGCCCGCCACCGCGCCCGGCTAATTTTTTGTATTTTTAGTAGAGACGGGGTTTCACCGTGATAGCCAGGATGGTCTCGATCTCCTGACCTCGTGATCCGCCCGTCTCGGCCTCCCAAAGTGCTGGGATTACAGGCTTGAGCCACCGCGCCCGGCCGAGATCACTGTTTTATAAGGGAAAGCAATCACTTATCCCTATGTACTCATGCTGCTAAATATATTGGTTAACTTCTCAGCATTATGTGACTCACTTATCACTTATTCTCTCTTGAAACCCCTTCTTTCTTATTTTTAGTTTTTTAAATATTATATTCAAGGGGTACGTGTGTTTCTCACATGGGAATTAAGTGTAAGGGTGGGGATTGGGCTCGTAGTGTACCCATCACCCAAATCTTGAACATTGTACCCAATAGGTAATTTTTCAATCCTCATTCACCTCCCACCCTCCCCACTTTTGGAGTCTCCAGAGTCTATTCTCTCCATCTTTATGTCCATGTGTACCCATTACTTAGCTCCTGCTTATAAGTGAAAACGTGGTATTTGATTTTCTGTTTCTGAGTTAGTTCACTTAGGATAATGGCCTCCAGCTCCATCCATGTTGTTGCAAAGGATATGATTTTGTTCTTTTCGATGACTGTGTAGCATCCTGTGGTGTATATATACCATATTTTCTTTATCCAGTCAACCACTGGTGCATACTTAGGTTGGTTCCATGACTTTGCTATTAAAAACAGTGCTGTGATAAACATACACGTAAAGGAGTCTTTTTTTATATAATGATTTCTTTTTCTTTGGGTAGATACCCAGTAGTAGGATTGCTGAGTTGAATGATAGTTCTTTTTTAGTTATTTGTGGTATCTCCATACTGTTTTCCCTAGGGGTTGAACTAATTTACATTCCTACTAACAGTGTATGAGCATTTCCTTTTCTCCACATCCACATCATCTGTTATTTTTTTACTTTTTAATGACAGCCATACTTATTGGTGTAAGATGATATCCTGGTGTGGTTTGTTGTTGTATTTGTTTGTTTTGTTTTGAGACAGAGTCTCACTCTGTCATCCAGGCTGGAGTGCAGCGGCGTGATCTCGGCTCACTGCAACCTCCCAGGTTCAAGTGATTCTCCTGCCTCAGCCTCCTGAGTAGCTGGGATTACAGGCAGGTGACACCACGCCCGGCTAATTTTCATATTTTTAGTAGAGACAGGGTTTTGCCATGTTGGCCAGGCTGGTCTTGAACTCCTGACCTCAGGTGATCCACCCGCCTCGGCCTCCCAAAGTGCTGGGATTACAGGTGTGAGCCACGGCGCCCAGCTGGTGTGGTTTTAATACACATTTCTCTGATGATTAGTGATGCTGAGTATGTTTTCGTGTGTTTGTTGTCCACTTGTATGTCTTCTTTTGAGAAATGTCTGTTCACATCCTTTGCCTAGTTTTTAATGGGGTTATTTTTTCTTGTTAAGTTTCTTGTAGATTCTGGACATTAGTCCTTTGTTAGAGGCATAATTTGCAAATATTTCTCCCATTTTGTAGGTTACCTGTTGATTTCATTGACTATTTCTTTTTTTGTATATAAGCTTTTTAGTATAACTAAGTCCCATTTGTCTATTTTTGTTGCATTTGTTTTTGGGGTCTTCACCACAAATTCTTTGCCTTAAATGTCCAGAAGAATTTTTCCTAAGTTTTATTTTAAAATTTCTATAGTTTCAGGTCTCACATTTAGGTTTTTAATCCATCTCTAGTTAATTTTTATACATGGTGAGAGATAGGGGTCCAGTTTCCTTCTTCTACATATGGCGGGTCAGTTTTCCCAGCACCTTTTATTGAATGGGGTATCCTTTCTTCATTATTTATTTTTGTTGATTTTATCAAAGATCAGTTGGTTGTAGGTATGTGGCTTTATTTCTGGGTTCTCTATTCTGTTCCATTGGTCTACATGTCTATTTTTGTCCCAGTACCTGTTGATTAAGTTAGTATAGCCTTGTAGTATAATTTGAAGTCAGGCAATGTGATGCCTCCAGATTTGTTCCCTTGCTTGGGCATGCTTTGGCTATTCGGGCTTTTATTTGTTCCATATAAACTTTAGGATTAATTTTTCTAATTTTGTGAAAAATGGCATTGGTAATTTGATAGCAATTGAATTGGAGCTGTATATCGCTCCGGGGAATATGGTGATTTTAATGATAGTGATTCTTCCAATCTGTGAGCATGGGATGTGTTTCCATCAGTTTGTGTTGTCTACAATTTCTTTCATCCAGGTTTTGTAGTCCTTGTAGAGATCTTTCATCTCCTTGGTTAAATGTACTCCTAGAGGTGTGTGTGTGTGTGTGGGTGTGTGTGTGTGTAGGTGTGTGTGTTGGGTGGGGGTGGCTATTATAAATGGGATTGAGTTCTTAATTTTGAAACCCCTTTTTTATTTGCCTTCTGGGACATTATACTTTTGTGATTTTTCTCCTACTCCATAGACTGTTTCTTCTTAGTCCATTTTGCTGGATCCTTCTCCTTTTTCTGATTTCGTAATGCCGAATGGGCCAGTGTACTGCTTCTTTTCTCTGTCTATATTCTTTCCCTCTTTTATGGCCCATGGCCTTAATACCAGTTACAAGCTAACAACTTCCACATTTCTATTTTCCAGCCTCAATCACTCTGCTGAGCTCCAAATGAAAACATCCAATGGCCTATTCAACATTTCCACAGGCGTATGTCAAACTAGCATCTCAAACTTAACATGGTCAAAAGGGAACTCATGATCCCATTCACTCCGACTCTTCCTTCTAAGTAAAAGGCAACTCCATCCACTTATTTGCTCTGGTTAAAAGAAGTCATCACTGATTTCTCTCTTCTTCTATTATCTCACACCCAACCCAACAGTATGTTCTGTCAGCTTGATCATAAACACCTCTCCTCACAACCATGGCCATCATCACCCCAGTCCAATTTGGCATCATTCTTCCCTTGGATGCTACAGTATGCTGCTCGCCAGTTTCCATTCTCCCCTCTTGCCCCATAGTCTATTCTCTACAGAGAAGCCAGACAGATCATCTAAAATTATATGTCACTCTGTATTCAAAACCCTCCAATGGGACTTCCCAACACAAAAAATCAAAACCCTATTGTGATCCGCAGGTTGACATGATGTGGTCCTGACCTATCTCTATGCTGTCATTGTTCGTCCCTCCTCCTTCACTCACAGTGCTCCCAGCAGACCGACCTTCCCTCTGTGTGGCAGGGTCTTCACAGTTGCTGTTCCAAAGGCCTGGAATACTCTTCCCACGAATATTCACACAGCCTACCCTCATTGCACTCCAGTTTCTGCTTAAATGTTATCTCCACAGAGGGCTCCCCTAACTACCTTCTCTAAAACACGGCTCTAGGCTGGGCGCGGTGGCTCACACCTGTAATCCCAGCACTTTCAGAGGCCGAGGCAGATGAATCACTTGAGGTCAGGAGTTCAAGACCAGCCTGGCCAATATGGTGAATTTCCTGTCTCTATTAAAAATACAAAAATTAGCTGGGCGTGGTGGTACACACTTGTAATCCCAGCTAGTCGAGAGGCTGAGGCAGGAGAATCACTCGAACACGGGAAGCAGAGGTTGCAGTGAGCTGTGACTGCACCACTGCACTCCAGCCTGAATCACAGAACAAGACTTCATCTCAAAAATAAAAGAAGTCTCTTGCTTTATTTTTCTTTTTAGCATTTATTATTATCTGATGTCATCTGCTATTAGCTTGTTTATTGTCTGTTTCCTGCATGTGAATATAAACTCCAGAAAGGCAGAGAACTTGTCTTAATTCCCCAGTTCTTGGACTATAGCCTAGCACATAGTAGGTGCTAACAAACATTTGTTGAGGTGGTGTTACTTATTAAAACAGAGCAAAGGAGTAAGAATAAATTAGGGGATTCAAAGAGAAACTCATATTTGATCAATGACCAAAACTTCACGACAGCAAGTCAAAGTTTCTGATACAAACAAAGCATCCATGTGGGAAAAATACATAACAATATTGGATTCATGCTAATTTCCTTTCTATATGGATTATTATCAGCAAAGAGAAATCATACATTCCAACTTCCAGGCAAATATAGTTTTTTGAGTATGAAATGACTTCAGAGCAGAGTTTTTAAAACTGCCATTCAAGGCGTGAACCCGGGAGGCGGAGCTTGCAGTGAGCCGAGATTGCGCCACTGCACTCCAGCCTGGGCGACAGAGCGAGACTCCGTCTCAAAAAAAAAAAAAATAAAATAAAATAAAAAGAAAAAAAAAAAAACTGCCATTCAAATTATTGTTTATTTCAGAAATATTGTGTGCTATATAGCCTTCTTCAAGGGGAAAAACATGTAAACCAAATATCCATGGCTTACCTTGGTCTTCAAAAACTGTGACGTTAAATCTCTTTGCTGTTCTACTTCACTGCGCACATGATTGCAGAAAGCCACAGAGTACTGACGACTGTAGTAGGGACTGAAGTTTTTGATGGCAGCCTCAGTTTTCCCTAGAAAAGTATGAAAATTAGAATTCTGAAGTATAGCACAGAATTTACACTTAGCTACAGAGTTCCAAAAACCATCCCTCCAGTCTCTCTGTTTCCATCCCTCCTGTCACCCCTGTCTCCCAGGGATTTGCCAGTAGTCTGTGTTCCTGGAGAACTTTGCTACCTGCTGCACATGCCCCATCTCTCCCTCTCTTTCCAGCATCATCCTGAGAGGCTTCACAGACCCTAAGGACCGTCCATCCCATAACCTATTGAGTTTTGCTTTATTTTCTATCAATAACCTATCGCCACGGCCATAAACTCAACCATCCTTCTAATCCTTCTAAGACTGCTCTTCTACCTCGCCCTGTCTCCACTTCAACTTGCTCTTTATTCCCCTTGATGTGCAGTCATTCAGCTCCTTCCTCCAAATGATAATCCCAGGTCTACCCCTTCAATTCTGCAAGAACATCACTTCCCCCCTTTTTTTTGAGACGGAGTTTCCCTCTGGTTGCCCAGGCTAGAGTGCAATGGCGCAATCTCGGCTCACCACAACCTGCACCTCCCGGGTTCAGCCGATTCTCTTGCCTCAGCTTCCCGAGTAGCTGGAATCACAGGTATGTGCCACCATGCTCGGCTAATTTTGTGTTTTTAGTAGAGACGGGGTTTATCCATGTTGGTCAGGCTGGTCTGGAACTCCCAACCTCAGGTGATCTGCCCGCCTCGGCCTGCCAAAGTGCTGGGATTACAGGCGTGAGCCACCACATCTGGCCATCGCTCCCTTTTTCTTCAGATCCCTGAGGCTCCACCTCTAGTCTTGTGACTCACGGTCCTGGATAAAATCAGGTCCTGGATAAAAAGTGTTTCCTCTCACTCTGCTCCAATGTCTCTGGTTCAAAATTTGTGTGTGTGATTCAAAGCAGTATATAACTACCACGAGACAGAAGGGAAAACTTTGGTTTAAGAGCCTAGAGACCTGAGCTCTGGCCTCGATTCTGTGAGGCAGAAACCAGCTGCACAACCTCAGTCAAGTCATTCGACTCCCGAGGCTCCAGCATCCTAATTATAAAGGAAGGTGCTCACTAGTCCACACATTTCTTTGGATCTGCGTGCCATTGAAGTATAAGTACAGTACGAAAGTCCAGCTGCCTCACAACAGTGACTAGAAACTGCAATATATTAAATAGACTCTCAGCACCAGAAGTAAATCAAACTGAGTATGAATGTGGGGGAAGCTTGAGGACTTGAGATGGAGGGACAGGGAGAGTCAGACACCTGAAACATTCTTGCCTTTCCAATCTGTGCTAGCTTTAGAGAGTACGGGAATTGCAAAGGAGGGAAGAGAGAAGGAGGAGTAGAGGAGAAAGGGTGTAGGAGCATTCTCATGCAGATTAGAAACCCTTACAACATTTCAACTGCTTGCTGCAGGGTACAGAAAGAAACACAGGCTTCACAGATTGTGCTCATAAGCGATGAGTCCGCAGAATAGCGTACAGCTTGAGGAAAAATAAACTCCATGTAATATTCCAAAATATTTTAAAGTACTTGCACGTGAACTTGACATCATTTTTGCTTTTAAAATTTGATATTATAGTCAGTTGAGAGATATTAAAATATACTAGCAAGATTTGTTTAGAGCTATCACGTAGGTAAAATTTCAAAAATAAGTGAAGAGTTCTAACTACATAAATTGAGGTACTCAATAGGAAAGCCTTGAATCCACAGCAACCCATTTCTAAGCCTATAGAACCATAGCCAAAGACACCATAGTGTATGAATATTCTCCATATGCAGAGAATCCTATTTTTGTTTGGGAATTTAGGTCTTATAATATGTGTGAGGTAAAGAGGAATTCTTTCATATTTGCTTCATAACATGAAATTTACTGGTCAGGTTTATGAGCTTTAATAATTATTACTTGTAAGGTGCTTTGAGACCCACTAATAATAGATTCTGTAGAAATGCAAATAAAAGCTCCTATAATTTGAATCAGGCATGCTTTTGCTTGCTGTGTGAGTTTATGGTATTACTATTAATCAGTATTTGCATAACACTTTAATATACTCAGGCTTTATAATCCTCTAATTGGTTATTATGCTATCAGCTTTTATGCAGCATCATTCTCTATGCTTGTCTATAATTTTCTTACATAGGAGTGGGGCAGTGTCGGAATTCCCACAATGAGAACAAATCTCACTTTACTAAAACATATACATGATGAATAAAATTTGCCCTTTAGGTCCAAGTAGCCACTGTTTGGTCTATCAGAAAAGCAGCCTGTTAATTTCTAATGTTTATTTTTGTACTCTTGAAAGCACTTGGATTGAAATGAAAGGAGGTGGATGTCATTTTATGATGAACTCTATGAAGCTTTGAAAGCTGATTTTCTGCCACATCACCAAGCCTCCCCCAGGGACACCCTGCTTCTGGTGAGGTGTCATAATGCTCTCTTCTGATATATGAGAAAAATGCTTCTGTGATTTGAATATCTGCATACTGTCCCAGTAACACATCATCCACCAGGTAGCGTTTATAAAGAAGCAATTGCAGCTTCTTTAGGTAATTAATCTAATAACTAGTTCAAACTATGTATGATATAGCTAACAATATCATATGTTCTGGGGGGGGAACCTAAAGTTATTTGGCAAGTGTATCTGGATTTTAGATTAAACCTATCTAAATCCAAATAAATTAGTACCCAATGTAGGGATCCTAAGACTGAGAGCAAAGTCTGGTGTTGAGGCAGGGGACAGTCTGGCTTGGTGGCTCATGCTTGTAAGCCAGCACTTTGGGAAGCTGAGCAGGAGCATTGGGAGTTTGAGGTTGTGATGAGCTATGATTGCACCACTGTACTCCAGCCTGGGAAACAGAGCAAGACCCTATCTCTAATTAAAAAAAAAAAATAGTCTGATGTTGGAGCAAAATACCACTGTGGTTAGGAAGATGGACTCTGGAGTCAGACAGGTTCAAATCCCATCTCTACTACTTGCCAGCTGTGAGATCTCATATGAGTTACTTCTTTCTGCTCACATGTTAAATGAAGAAAACAAGAGTAGCAGCCTCATAAGGTTATTCTAATGATTCCAGGAACAAATTCTGTAAAGTGCTCAGCATGATAGCTGGCACATAGAAAATGTTCTATAATTGATCATAATTAAAATGGTGATGAGGGTGTCCCTTAGGCAAGCACCAGGATAAAGTCCTCAAACTGAACTAAGAGATTAAGGAGAAGAAAAAAGCAGGTTGCTTACTGTGACTTGCACTAGGGCCATCCTGCCCTGCTGTATACAGAAGGGCTCCAAACAAATACAACCTACATTTTCACAAAGGTTTGGCATAGAAGACCCTCCGTGCATTCCTGAATTAAAACTAACTACATAAAACAACAACATTCATGAACTGAAGCAAAAAGCATAAGTTAGGGGCTGTGTTTCATTGAGCTCTCTCTGACCTCAATTTTCTCACCTGCAAAATGAGGATAATAAGATGCCCATATCACAGGGTTTCACGAGGAGCAAACAAAATATTCTGTATATTGAAAACTGTCTAGGACAGTGCCTGACACATATTAGTTGATCAATCAATGTTGACTACTATTTAATATTCCACAATGAAAACATTCAAACAAATGATCAGCCCACAGGCGCTACACAAAATAACCTCAGCTGAAACGACATTGTTCATCACAGTTTTCAGATTCTTGAGCACTGAATTCCTTTCATATCCCTGCCACCAAATTTAGTATCACATTCTCTTTCCTAAATTGTTTATAAAACACAGTGCCAGGTCTTATACTGAAAGGAGATTACTCAATAATGGAAGGACTAAAAGCAATGGAAGGGATTCTTCCACATTTTGATATACCAGTATTTTTGGCACAAGCACATATCTCTAATCCTACTTGTTTATTTCAGCTTGAGCTAGGCATTGCATTAGTACAATTCACTTGACCCTAAGCTGCTCATAACACCCTTCAAGGTAATCATCACTGACACTGAAAGAAGCCACTTGACATAGTTTGGATCTTTTGTCCCCTGCAAATCTCATGTTGAAATGTAATCCCTAATGTCGGAGGTGGGGCCTGGTGGGAGGTGTTTGCGTCATGGGGGCAGATCCCTCACTAATGGCTTAGTGCCATCCACTTGGGGAGAGGTGAGTTCTTGTTCCCTTAGTTCACTTGAGAGCTGTTGTTTGAAGGGAGCCTGGCACCTTCTCCTCTCTCTTGCTCAGCTCTTGCCATGTGATGCACCTGCTCCCCCTTTGCCTTCCGCTATGATTGTAAGCTTCCTGAGGCCCTCACCAGAAGCAGATGTCAGCACTACGCTTCCTGTACAGGATGTAGAACCAAGAACCATGAGCCGATTAAACCTCTGGTTTTTTTTGTTTTTTGTTTTTTGTTTTTGGGATAGTCTCAATCTGTCACCCAGGCTTGGAGTGCAGTGGTGCAATCACAGCTCACTGCAGCTTTGACCTCCCAGGCTTAAGCAATCCTCCCATCTCAGCCTCCTGAGTAGTTGGGACCACAGGAGCATGCTGCCACACCTGGCTAATTTTTTTTTTTTTTTTTCAGACAGAGTTTCACTCTTATCCCCCAGGCTGGAGTGCAGTGGCGCCATCTCAGCTCACTGTAACCTCCACCTCCCGGGTTCTAGTGATTCTCCTGCCTCAGCCTCCCAAGTAGCTGAGATTACAGGCATGCGACACCACACCTGGCTAATTTTGTATTTTTAGTAGAGACAGGGTTTCACCATGTTAGTCGGGGGTCTTGAACTCCTGACCTCAAGTGATCCACCCGCCTCGGCCTCCCAAAGTGCTGGGATTGCAGGTGTGAATCACTGCACCCAGCCAATTGTTTTTGTATTTTTTGTAGAGACAGGGTTTCACCATGTTGCCCAGGCTGGTTTCAAATCCCTGGACTCAAATGACCTACCCGCCTTGACTCCCATAGTGCTGGGATTACAGGTATGAGCCATCACACCCACCCTACACTTTTTTTCCTTCATAAATTACCCAGCCTCAGA